GCCCACGTTCACAGTTGGCTTGTAGTTAAAGGCCTCCAGGTAACGCAGTGTGAGTGCTCGTATTGAGAGATGGCCCAAGTGGTTAGAGCACGAATTTACTGACCGGAAGGTCCGTGGTTCGAATCCGACCTCCGCCACTCGGCTTCCCGTCTAGGCTTGGGCAACCTGGCAGTATCCCAGCCCTCGTTCAACCTTCGGGTGGCGTGGCAACTAGGCACCGGAAGGGTGCTACAGCTGAACGCTTTCTTTTCTTTCTTTCTACTCGTATTGAGTTAGTACAGCCAAGAGATAAACGACATTCAGTATGTCATGATTTTTGTGTGCTTATTCTTATACTTACCACATACTCGTACAGAACCTTTGTATGTACATTTCAGCCCATGTACGCTTGTTCTTAGACAAGTAAAACGTTGCTTATCCTCGAAAACCTGGACTCTGTTCTAACTCGTTTTCGGACTCATTCTAAACGTCTCAGTATCACTGGAGCTGCCCCCGTTGCATGTAAGTTGAGCATCAGCTCCGAACCAACCAGCGAGGTAGATTCACCTGAAATTATTCCACCGACTTGGGGAATAATCCTCTCCTCGGAATCACATCAGGCATGGCTGAAACAACCGTGACAAATTTCGGTAAAAGCCGCTGACCGTTAAATATAGTAGGCAAACACCAATTTCCTAATTAATCAGTGCAAAGATGAAAACCCATCGGGATGCGATGAAATAAGGGTATCTCAGTCCTGAGGCAGAGGGTGCAAAAGGTGACACTTGCCAGCTGTCCAGGATAAAAGACGTCTGACTGAGTTGCTCCATGATGAGGTTTTGACAAGTGGCGCGCAATTTCAGTGGGCAGTGCTTCTCATGCCAAGTAGTTTGCGCACGGCATGAGGTTTCGAAGTTGCCAATCCCACATTGACTCCAGGGTCACAGAACTCCAGATGCCTGTGGTTAAAGCGCGAAACCAGACCGGAAGATACATAATTCGAACTCAATGCAGCTGCTCCCGCATGGGAAGCTTGAGAATGTCTCCGATTTCGTGCGTTCTGAGGTACACGTTAGCCCTGAACCAGAAAAGCGCTAAGACTGAGTGGTATCCTTTCTCTAGAAAGCTTTCACATGGTTTTCAAGTGACTTTTCGCACCCGCCAGCTTAATATCCAAAACCGACACCTGACACAAGTGTGTTACACTCGTGCTTCTCTGGTGAACCAAAGATCACTGAACGTCAAAAACTTGGTGGAACACCTCGACGCTGCAATAAGCCGATAAAATGTAACTACGAGGTGCTTGTTCGAGACGTGAACGAATTGATTATTATTAGCCCTTCTGTTTTCCGCCCATCTACTTACCTTCAGATCACCAAATCCTTCCATCTCTTACAGCCAACAACTACATGAGCTCACAGCACACAAGCCCCCACCAAACCAACGCGAGATTGTATAAGATCTGAAACGACTCATAACGGTCGGATTTGCTGACCGTCCCACACATTGTGTCAATTAACTGACTGAATGTTGGCCGGTCTGTGGAAAGTACAAAGCACGTTACGGAAACACATATCAGACGCGCCGTAACGCACAGCATGAACACTTACTTTGTCGAGGGATGATTTTATATGTTCCCGAGCCTTCTGGATCTCTTGAGCAAGGTACGAGCTGGCCTTCTTCGAAAATTAAAGACAATAATTAATTGAATATTGGCTACCTGCATATCCAGTGATACATCCTGTTTAGCTGACGAAAGGTACGAGACGTAATCACATTCTATTTTTGGGTATTCTGGGAACTGAACGCAGGCGCTTGAATCACAGAGAGCGGCAGCCATCATCTTCGTCAGAACGCGTGGGTGGCCGAAAAGCAGCACACTATTCGCAGAACGAAAGTGACCAGCGGTTTTGGGCTTTAGTTCAAGGTTAGGAGGCCGTACGGTCTAGCGGTTTCATAGGTCGTAGAAGATATCGCAGACACCACGCGGGCAAACTGCCATCCCCCCTGGATTTGGTCATCAACGAAAGGCACTTCGTTGATCAGGTAACAATTAACGCACCACTGGGACATAGCGACCACTGCGTGCTGACCTTTGATTTCACCTGCTATTGGGCCAGAAATCCCGAACCTCAATCGTGATTTCGAGACTTCTGCCGTGCAGACTTCTCAGGAATGCGCATCTTTCTTGAACAAGTCACACTGGGACCAGCTCCGGTGGAAGAACTATATAGCACCATTGTCCAGAAAGTTCACGAGGCTGACGCGACGTTCGTCCCAAAAAACCAGGACGCACTCGGATGAACCGCAGGCTGCCAAAAAGGATTCGGGAAAAGGTCCCAACTCTTTTTCAAAAGGTTGACTACAGGGGATACAGAAGATGAGCTGTCATCTCGTGAAATACGGAACCGCTGTAAATCAGAGATCCGCAAATGGAACATACGAAAACAAGCCATCATTCTG